CATCAGCGGTGGGAGGAAGGGTCCATGGGGGCCTGGTGGAGACAGCTAGCAAGGAATGTACTGGCCCCCGAGGGAAAGGAGGGCGCACTTGTAAAAAAAGACCAGAGACGGCTCTTATGACGGATGTGAAGATAATGTTAGGAAATGCTTGCACTGAGATTCAGTATTAGATTTGTGTTCTGGTAGAAATGTAGTCCGGTTGAGCTAACGTGGGCGTAAAAGTGCTATTAGCTTTATCTATATATTTAGCCTTGAACTTGGCATAATGAGAAGTGTTTCACATCATATTATTTCCTATATCATTTATATTAGCATGATTGGAATGCTGTATCGACCAATCAGCATGCAGAAGTCCAGGTTTTTTTTGTTGTTGTTTTTTCAAATTGAGGTTTATGTTTGTAATTGTCCCTTCGCTAAGCTCCACCGCACTTGGTTACTAACTCAGAGGAGCTTTGCAGAACATCCCATAGGAAGATTTCTGTAAACAGCTAGATGTTCCGTAAATTGTGCTTATAAAGTGAAAATAATTGAATGGATATTACTCTTGTGAGGGCTAGAATGAATTATGAGATTGCTGATTTGGGAAAAAGACTAATCCTGTGTGGATACCTTGTGTCACCGTTATAAGTGATCTGGCAACAGCGTTTTCCCATATTTTTCCTTAAAATCGCACTTTAAACTATCTGAATGCACAGATTATCTATTAAGTTTGGGGTCAGTAATATATAAATATTTTTTTATATATATATTTTCATTCAGCAAATGTAAAAAAAAAAAATCCATTTCAAATAAATGCTGTTCTTTTGAACTTTCTATTTCGCACTTTCCACTAAAATATAAAGCAGTACAACTGTTTTCAACATTGATAATAATAATAATGTTTCTTGAGCACCAAATCAGCATATTAGAATGATTTCTGAAGGATCATGTGACACTGAAGACTGGAGTAATGATGCTGAAAATTCAGCTTTGTCATCACAGGAATACATTACATTTTAAAATGTATTCAAATAGAAAAGTTATTTTAAATTGTAATGATATTTCATAATTTTGATCAAATTTTGGCCTTGGTGAGCATTTCAAAAACATAAAAAAATCTTACACCAAACTTTTGAAATAATAATAATTTGTTACATTTTATATAGCGCTTTTCTGGGCACTCAAAGCGCTTTACATGGAAGGGGGAATCTCCTCAACCACCACCAGTGTGCAGAATCCACCTGGATGATCCGACGGCAGCCATATTGCGCCAGAACGCCCACCACACACCAGCTTATTGTTGGAGAGGAGACAGAGTGATGAAGCCAATCAGTATATGGGGATGATTAGGAGGCCATGGAATGATGGATAGAGGCCAATGGGCAAATTTGGCCAGGATGCCGGGGTTACACCCCTACTCTTTTTCGAAGGACATCCTGGGATTTTTAATGACCACAGAGAGTCAGAACCTCGGTTTAACATCTCATCCCGAAGGACGGTGCTTTTTGACAGTATAGTGTCCCCAGCACTACTATACTGGGGCGTTAGGACCCACACAGACCACAGGGTGAGCACCCCCTACTGGCCTCACTAACACCTCTTCCAGCAGCTGAAAGATAGTGTATATTAAGAGTATATTTTGTCTGAGAAAATGGCAGACAACAACAGTTGCTGAGGTAGAATAGGTCAGCAATGTTTTTAAAGTGGAGCTAAGTGAAGGTCCGGATCAGTTGAGGTCACACATATTGCTACTATTTTAAGTTCTGCTGCTCTGATTCCTTCTGTTAATGTTGTTACGTTAAGCTTCTGTCTTGCACACTAGACCTATATATGGAGCCACTGAGAGGTGCTCAATCAAACAGGCTTTTTATACCACTGCCCAGTGCAGACAGCACATGCTCACGCTGTCACACTCTGCTGCCCGCTCACCATACCTGTTACCATGGCAACTGGGACGGTTTTCAGCTGTTGCCTTGACAACAGTCCAGTACTCCCTTTTAATTTGCTGAGACAAAAGCTGTCTCGCATTTCGAAGGCTGTGTCCTCCGAAGGGCCCCATACGTCATAAAGGATGTCTTATTTCAGAAAAGAAACCATTATAAAATTATTCCCAGTGAAGCGTAAATTGTTGTAATTTCTTTGGAAAGTAGTGGTCAGTTTACTGAAATGAAACAGCCCCGATGACGTATGCGGTCAACAAACGTGACCTCCGGAGGACGCAGCCTTCGAAATGAGACACAGTTAAAGACGCTGACGCCTCTGGGAGGCAAAAGGGCAATCTGAGCTTCGGAAAGGAAGTGGGGGGTGTATCGATTGGACCAGTGGCCTGTCATTTTTCACAAGAGTGCAGAAGAATAGACCTTATCGACCCTGAGTCAGTCGAGCTGGAAGCCCCTCTTTATCTTCTGTCCTGCGATCTACAGACACCTGTACCCATATCAAATGACTGGCCTGGATCTTGTTTCCACGCTGTTGTTGTTTCTGCAATGCCATGCTTGTTCAACGCACGTGGTGTAGGAAAAGGATGAGCTTTGTGATATGTGCGTCCTCGATCATTGTCATTGCTTAGTGTTTGAGGGTTAGTGTGTCTTTAAATGTATTATATTTTTTTATGCTGTGTTTTTCTGGCACATACCACAATTTGAATGTGCTCTTTGAGTTTCCTAAAGAGCATGTCATTAGACACGCTTCACAGTCATTTAACACAATGTCCACAGAGAGATTTATTATAAACCTTTCAGAGTTCCGGTTTGTTAATAAAATAAATAATTATTATTATATTATATTGTTTTGTTTAATACAATATAAAAACATATAATACATAAAATATATTTTTAAATATTATATTGAGTATAAATGCTGTTATTACTACTACTACTATATTATTTACTACTCATAAAGCACAATGCCATATTCTACATTCCTTAATCCTACCCAATACCTAAACTTAAACACTACAAAGACTAATAAGCAGTAAATAATAATAAGCAGTAAATTAGGAGTTTGAGGCAAAAGTTAGTGTTAATAGTTAATGTGTTCCCCATACTGACCAAAATAACATTTAAAAGTCCATTCTGTTCACCCATTAAACAAATCGCAGAGCACCATTAACTTTATTATTATTATTATTATTATATATAAAATATTTATATATTGTACAATATTTTGTGAATATATTAACACCATATTTCCCATTTAAATATTTTTTTAATATATTATTATGTTTTAAGTAACGTCGCATTTCACTCTGTTCACACGTCAGATACATCACTGAGCAGCATGGTTTTTAGTTGAGTGTAGTTCCCCTTGTTTGTGCACAGACCCCTTAATCTCTTGCTCTCCATCCTCTTAAGGTCTTTAGCTACTGCTGTGTCCTCGTTGCCTGTTTGTTTCTCATGCGTCAGCTGACAGTGCAGGGAAACTGGGTCGCTTGGGCCCTGCCCAGTGTGTGCAGTGTCTCGTCCTCTGTCCCTGCCCTCTCACTCTTATCTCTGCGTGTGTTTGGAGCTTCATGTTTCTCTGGTCTACAGTTTACTTCATGTTTGTGAAGTTGGATCAGTATCTATGTTTATGTGGGTAGGTAGAATTTAATGTACTCTTGTTTGGCACGCTCACACTACCCAGATGTCCACTTGTGATTGGCCCAGCTCCTGCGTCATGAGCTCCACCCACTAATGTTACTCAGCGTGTGCACTCTTGCACACCAAGTGAATGCCTTCCCAGAAGTGGGAGGTGCTGTCATGCTTTGGGTAATCCACGTGTTTGTGAGTATGAGAGAGTGGCCAGGGCTCTGATGAAAGCAAAAACAGACGGTGGGGGAGGTGTGTGCTTGACCGAGACATCCAGGAAGGAACGGGAACTTAAGCTCTACGCCTATAGATGATTACAGGCACACTTACAGAGAAGCATGTGACATCCGTTTTACTTACAACAAGTCTAAGAAATTCCCATATGCTTCCTTATAAGAAATGACATTCATTTCAGCAGCCTTGGATGTGCTCTACTAGGATATGAGTAAGAGAAATTATCGGTTGTCATCGCAAAATAATCCCTTACCAGAATGACCAGAGTCTTTTATCTTATATTTGAAATAATGTAAAAATGACAATTTTATATAGAGAGGGAAATAAATGACACAAATGCATATATAATGAGAGGTTATACATATAGTAAAGTTTATATATAAAGTTCTATTTTTGGCAAATGTAAAGGCCTTTTCACACCAAAAGTGAAATGTCTAAGCCTCAGGCAGAAGGAAATTTGAATTCACACCTGTACAGTAGAGGCCGCAGCTCAAACAAACCTTTCAGCTGAGCTGCCATTCTGAATAGCAGGAGAAGAAGGTTCAACACTCTTACTTCAGCAATAAAATCAAAAAATGAAACACAAATGTGATGTTTATCTGAAGTAATTTGTGCTCATTACTAAGGTTGAATTGGATCGTCCAAGGCCAGCTGCAAAGACGTTGGTTAATAAAGTGAGATTAAATTCATAAAGTGTATTTGTGTAATTTAAAAGTAATGCATTATTTTACTAGTTACTTGGGAAAATGTAATCTGATTATGTAACGTGTGTTACTCGTAATGTGTTACCTCCAACACTGTGTATGTATGCGTGTGTGTGTGTATTTTACCCACATCTATAAGCTTTCACTGGATTTATAGTATTATTCTACATTTATGGAGTAGTTTGCAAACATGTGTACCTACAATGTAACATTTCTTCCTGTATTTTAAGCTCTCACACATCCAGTTGTTTATGTCTGTTACTGGTTCCCTTTTTTTTTCTGTGAAGTTTTACTTTTGCTTTAGCAGGTTTTATTTAATAATAGAGGGGGTTAAGGAAATAGCCACCAACTCTAAGTGCATGGAAATGCTGATATTGTATTCTATTGACATGCTTTTTGTTGCACAGCAAGGTGACGTTTAATTCTTGCAGCTATAGATTTTCAGTGTACCCTGCCAGCTCTTAATGCATAGGATAAATGCTCAGTTGTTTATTTCTTCATTTCCCCCTTATAGACTCTGAAGAGGAAGGAGAAAGACTACGAGCATGAGATGGAACGTCTGGCGCGGGAGAAGATCGCCTTGCAGCAAAAACTGGCTGAGCTGAAGAACGAGCTGAGCCAGCGATTGGATGTGATTGAGATCGACCGTGTTCTTCGACAGACTGTGCAACCAGATGATGACCAGGCCTCTACCTCCACTGCCTCAGGTTAGTCTTGCAGAAGGGTTTGTCTATATCTGTCAATTACTACGGAACGAGACAGTATAGATACAGTACTATGTATCTGCTTAAAGTTCCTACTTCAGTTTCATTCTTTAACTTGTTTCTGACCCTTTTTATTTTGTTGTCGTCTCTACAGAAGGTGAAGACAACATCGATGAAGATATAGAAGACGAGAGCTTATCCGCCACGGCCAACGCCTTACTCAAAGTGCCTGCTGCGCTTCAGCCAGAGTTAAAGAAGTCACATTCTGCCCTGTCCCTCATAACACAGCACATCTCCATCCCACACAAACAGTCTAAAACGTTATCCCCGATTCCCTCAGCTCAACTATCCCCTGTGGCCGCCGCTGCCCTGATCACAACTCCCGCTTTGTCCTCAATGCCAGCACAAGCTCCTAATGGCCCACCATCTGCTCCGGCTCTGCAGACCCTACCTCCGGCCCAGACCCATATAGTGACCACAGCCAGTCTGCAGCCTACCGTCATTGCTCACGCGGGATCGGCGTCGCACGCCTCTGTCATCCAAGCCATCAACCATGTCATCCATCCAGGCTCCAAGCACATGGCCCACATCTCCCCTTCCTCCTCGAGCTCGGTGCAGCTGGCTCCCGGACCTCAATCCATTAGCCATATCACTGTCGCCCACCTTCCTGCAATCTACCCTCAGCCCGTTACAGTCACACAGCCGGCGGTTATGAGCCACATCGCGCACACACTCTCTCACGCCCAGATGAACGGCACTTCGGTATCTGCCGCACAAGCCGCCATGGTTGGCAAGCAGACGGCTGTGGGTGCTCAAGTGGTTACCCATCACCCTCAGCTGGTGGGCCAGACCGTCCTCAACCCAGTCACTATGGTGACAATGCCCTCCTTCCCAGTCAGCACGCTAAAGCTGGCCTGAAGCGCTGACAGTCAGACCCCTAGATAGAGTATAGACACTTAGACCACATCCGCCCCGTTTGAGACTGCAGCCACACGCAGAACTGCATCTAAACGAACTATAAAGCTACAGGACTCAGTACATTCCAAATGAAAAGAAAGAATATAAAGACTCAAAAAGTGATACAAAGAAATTTATTGAATGTCTAATACTATATAATGATATATAATAAAAGACAAAAAGAGATGTTTTATCTTTATGTGTGGGTAAAGGCAAAGTCTAGAGTGCTTGTGTGCTGCTCAGTGTTTTAGGCTCTAGTAGAGTATATTATGATGAAACTGTGGTCCAGTTCCAGCCTAAACCGACTCTTAGCCAGCCTATTACGTCTAACTACTGGTTTTAATGACTTATTTAAAAGGACGCCCCCCATAATACCTCATACTAACTCCTCAACTAACAGCACACCTCATGCGAATACTCTTCTCGGCTCCCATTAGACCAGGTTTAACGTACTGTGTTGTGTCTGACGTAATTCCCAAACCAGTTCTTGAAGTCTCTACAGAGATAAAAGACAATTTATTCACCCTCATGTTGTTCCAACCTGTATGGCTTTCTTTCTATGCACGTCTTTCTTTCCGAAACATGCTCATGAAGAACTTTTTTGTCCATTCCATGAAAGTCAATGGGGTTCAAAACGTTAAACCCTGTTGACTTTCATTGCATGGACTAAAAACCACCAAGACATTTTTCAAAATATCGGCAGAATAAAGAAAGTCATACAAGTTTGGAATGGCATAAGGATAAGTAAATAATGACCGTCGTCTTTTTTTTTTTTTTTTTTTTGGGTGTACTGACATTTTAAAATCAACTTACCTGGTCAGTTTGGTGTCATATTTTACCACTATAGTTGATGCGTGATGTAACATCATGACGCTGCAAAAAATTATTTTCTTACTTGTTGTTTTTGTCTTGTTTTCCTTTACAAATATCTATAAATTATCTATAAAGATACATTTACTTGAGAAGGAAAATTATTTAAGATATTAAGTCTTGTTTTCTGAAAAATGTATCAAAATGAAGTGAGTTTAAAACAAGAAAAAAATTCAATGTGGTAAGAAAAATAATCTTCTTTTCCTTTGGAATTAAGTTTATATTTCTTATATTTTCTTTTTTTAAGACTAAACTCATTTAATTTTGATACATTTTTCTTCTCAAGTAAATGTTCCTCAATGTTTAGATATTTGTACTGGAAAACAAGACAAAATACTGAGCAAGAAAATAATTTCGAGATTTAGACACCTGGGGCAAATGTCAGATGTTTCTAGAAGAAATAATCTTTTGACCGAGTTTACATGATGTAGCCTATCTGTAGTGCTCTAGCTGGCATAGACACTCTTGTTCTGTGACTATCACGTGGGTCATTGGGAATCTGACAGCAGTGCCTTTAACATTGTCAATCTGGAGTCCTGTTCAATGCTGCACAGACGCCCCCTATTGTTCTCTTGTTGCAATGCACTCTAAAGTTATTCACTAACAAAGCCACCAACTTGTATCAAACTGAGTGGTGTATGAATTCAGCTTGTGCTCCCCATTCGCTGAGTGGTAACTTATGAGATAGCCATCAGTTTGCAACAATGCAAACAATGTTTGCGAATGTATTCCAACATATTCAATGCCTTCATCTTGCCACTGGTGATAAATGTTGGTTATTAGGCCAAATGTAAAGGCGGTACATGGTTATTTGTGTATGTAGCAGAATCACGAGTGTTAAAATTTCATGCATTCATTATTTCACTGTGTGTGTGTGTGTGTGTGTGTGTGTGTGTGTGTGTGTGTGTGTGTGTGTGTGTGTGTGTGTGTGTGTGTGTGTGTGTGTGTGTGTGTGTGTGTGTGTGTGTGTGTGTGTGTGTGTCGAATGCATCTCACAGAGGCTTTATGTGTGTGTTTTTGTGACTAATAATGTTCCGGTGCAATTGGAAGGTAGATGGCTGTCACCTCGTGTTCCTTAAATGAACATCTTTATGCTTCAGGACAGTTGTAAGAGTCTGAGAGAGGAAGGATGCGTGGACGGGAAGATGTCTGTATTGAGCCGCACTGACCGCAACACAGGTAGAGCATATAGCCTGTGTGTATATCGGTTTTGATTTAAAACTAACACTGTGATCCCTGACAGTTATCCCAATAAGAGCAAACCAGGTTTACAAATCACACTAGCGTTATGTTGTGCAAGAGTCCCTGCATTTGTTTCGCTTCTGTAAGCGTTTGAGAGAAAACGCATTGAACTTTTTTATTTTGGCTGTCAGTTTTGTGTAGGATGTACACATTCATAGACGAATTGACGTGGCTGTTTTTGCATGTAGATGGATGATTCCTGTTTCAGTGCTAACTTTTTAAAATATGTTCTTTTAAATTTCTGGGACCATGTACAGTTATATATATGTTGGGGCAACTTCTCAGACCTCTTTCCACACTGATATTATATATATGCGCATATATATAGTGTGTTTTCCCTATGGAGAAAGTTTAAGTTGTGTATATAGCCTGTAAATTTGGGGCTGAGTATAGACCTAACTGTCCATTATGTTATAAGAGGAGCAAAAAATAAACAAGAACAAATGTTAAATAAAAATAAATAAATCTTGATGCATTTACTTGTTTTGTGGACACTTCAAAATAATTTGACAGTCAAATAGAGAACTTAAAGGGATAATTTACCCAAAAATGAAAATAAGTCAATTACTCACCCTCCTGCATTTCCAAACCTGTATGATGTTCTTTGTTTTGTGGAAATATATTTTGAAGTACATTAAGAGCCAAACAACTTTGGAGCCCTTTGACTTCCGACTTTGAGACATTTCACAAAATAACTTTTGTTTCACAGACAAAAGAAAGTCATACCAGGTTTGTAACGACATGAGGTTGAGTAAATGATGGCAGGATTTTCATTTTTGTGTAAACTATCTCTTTAAATGAGTACAATATTTCTTAAACCTCCACTTTTAACAAACGACATCTGTTTGACAGTTTGAGTAAAGCCATATAGTTATCAGAAAACTGATTAATTTTGTTCAGTAGTTAAACAATTAAACCCAACAAATTTTGGGAGTCATGTTTGTATTGAAAATTAATATTTAGCTCCAACCCTAATTAAACACACCTGAACCAACCAACTAAACAATGTGTTCAGGACTGCTTGTAAATAATCAGCTGGTGTGTTTGAGCAGGGTTGGAACTGAACTCTAATAACTAAACTTTATACAGTAGCTCAGCCGTTGGTCACCATCCACTTTCATTGTATAGAGGGGAGCAACTCCGACATTCTGCTACATATAGATGAAAGAAGTTTGGAATGATGCGATGAGGATGAGTCGAGTAAATAATGAAAGTTTTCATTTTAGGGTGAACTTTCCCCTTGTTCTGTTCACATGCATCAGTTCTAATCAGACTGTCGAATTGTATGTACAATGAATATAGCCCTCTAATATGGTATGGCTCAGAGTAGAAAAAATAAAAAGGTAGGCTAAGTGTGACTATATCTCCCAAATATGACTTTTGGGAGTGTGACTCACAATTTCATCTCAGAATTACCTTTTAATTTTTACGCTGAGGTGGAAATGGTCTTTGCGTACCTTACATTAAATAGTTTAGATTAACACTATTAATTCGTATTATTTGTTCACATTACTCCATTTACACAAGTAAAAAACAAACAGGAGTTTTGTGGTGAGCAAGATGAGGAGCAACTTCTGCATTCTGGCATTTAGTATAAATGAGATGACAAAGCAAAACCACATCATTAATTTTCACCCCTGGTGATCATCCAGCAAAGAGGGTTTGGCTGAAATCGAAATAAATATCAGGTAACAAAATGTATTCCTATCTGAATTAGTCAATATGTGATTCAAAGCATTTGAAAAAGGAGAATTGATTTATGCACCTTGGTTTTAATGTTTGGACAGATTCATATCTTGTGGCGGAGACTGATGCTGCCCACCTTAACCAAACCATGTGGAGAATATTGTAGTGGGAAAGTCCAGATTAAAATCACAAGATAAAGAAGCCGCAGCTACTAACAAATAAGTAATTATTAAAATAAACACCTCTTTCTCTGCAAGTATTATGTTAATACTTTATGCGTCTCTGAATAGTCACATTGGAAAACACTGTAAAAAGTATTAATTATGAGACATGCAAAATTTACAATATAGGAACATTAAATGAGGTAACTATCTCTTTGCAGAAACACAGATCTGGTGCTTGTAAAGATATAATTTAGTTATGATACCATAATATTTATTATTATTGCGGCAATCAATCTGTTTTAAATTCCCACATCTAAGCTATTACTGCATTTCACTTCATTTGAGTAATCAACATCTTAATACGGCCGACAATGTTTTGTTTTATTGAGGTTTACATTTTACAAAGCACTTCTCAGTACAATAAATATCAACAACAAAAACGATGAGATAATTTATCTGTTTAAACACCAAATGTCATGAGATAAGAGCATTTATGTCATATTCAGTTTATTCATTGTCACATTTGATCTATCATTATAAACCACTATTAAAATATAATGACTCTAAAATATAAAAAGTTCTAGTGTGTTTTACCACGGAATTATCAAAACTACATTTGAACACTGTTTATGACAACACATGCTGACTGTCTTTCATTCAGCCGGCTCTTGATTTGATCTTGCTCTGCTTGTGCACAGCTTATCTCATCCACACAGCCTTGAGTGCTGTTGTTATCAAACTCCGCGGCGTGATTGTCACAACCTTCCTCTTCAGACGCTGGGCCAAGAGCTCGGTTCAGTGTGGGGACGGTGTTAAACAGGATGAAACCAATGAAGATCACCACCAGTGACACGATATACAGTCCTGAGAACTGAGGAAGAACAGGTGAGGTGAGAAGGAACTGAAAAAAGTTAGCACAGTCATACAATGTATTTATTTTTTATTCAACATTGATGGTCTGGTGGTAGAAAATAAAATATATAAAGGAGTGCAAAAAAAGTACTGTGAATTACCAAGATCCATTTGTTTTATAAGCAGGGGACATAGGGCACTTACAAAACCTTCACACATTAAAGAAATATAAAGCTCCATGTCACAATGACCTGGAATATTTGAGATAAGAATATACAAGGACACATCTAGATACTTCTGCCACTTGTGCTGATGTCAGGATTAAAGAGAACATCAGCAAAATAAGACCAACATTTTTTAATTTCATTTCTTGTCATTTCTATTCAGCATTTATTTGATAGAACGTTTTCTCTCAATTTGCTTTATCATTAATTAAATTAAAAGGTGGCCAGAGAAATGTGTAATAAACGTACCATTGCCGATTATAACTTTTATTACACTTACAAATAAATGCTGTTGTTATGAACTTTCTATTCATTAAAAAATCCAGGGACAAAAGTATATCGCTTCCTCAAAAACATTAAGCAGCACAACTGAGCTGATTATAATAAGAAATGTTTCTTAAGCAGCAAATCATCCTATTAGAATAATTTCTGAAGGATCATGTGACACTGAAGACTGGAGTAATGATTCAGCTTTGTGTCACAGGAATAAAATACATTTGAAAATATGATATACACACGCTTCTTAGCAGCCACTCCGGAGAAAAGCCCAACAGGAAATAACATCCATAAAGTAATAACATAAAATAAAGAATATTGTTTTAACTTTATGATTTTTAATTAACTAACTCTATAGTGGCCAAAAGTGATCTCCTGTGTGTGTGTGTGTGTGTGTAAATATGTTACTCACATTGTATTGAAACAAAAAGAGGCCACAAAACAGGCTGAAGATGTCTCCAGTGAGTAAGGACAGATTAACCGCTGTGGCACTGGTCATCTTTATCACCACAGGCATGAAGCTATAGAAGCCGTACATGCAGAGCGCATATCCAGCCAAGAGCAGAGCTGAGGAGAGAACACAAAAATCAAACCTCAGATGAGGTCATCGACATACTGTGAATGGATAGTATTTTAATTTCACATTGCAGTACTTTACCAATTTCCCATGTCCACTGAATTTTAGACACTTTGTTATGTTCGAGGATCCCTCTGCAAGTGACAAAACACAACAGTGCAGATGATGTAGCTCTGACTTTTAGCAACAGGTCTACTGTTTTCTTGAAGTTCATCAACACATCTTACAGTTGTATTCCACTGATGATTGACCCGAAGAGGCCGACCATTCCCAGAAATTCCACCCTGCTCAGATTCTTCACCGTGTATTCCTGGCACACATTAGAGATGGCATACAGAGTGGCACTGACTAGAACCAGACCATCACCGAGGAGAATGTCACTGGCTGTTGACACAGGAATAAATAATGGCCACGGTTTGACTTATGTCAGGTTCTATGCTAAATTGTGTTGTGGAGAAGCAGCTTGCCCCTCACTAGATCCCAGGTCCTGGCCAGCGAGGATGTCCGCTCCCACCATGGCTCCCACACCAGCCAGACATATACATACAGCTACATAGTGAATGATCCTATAGCGGGTCTTCAGGAAGAACCAGGACAAGATCATCAAAACCGGGATAATAAAGCAGTCCAGCAGCTGAAATGCAGTCAGTAAGGCCAGTTAGTCAAACAACAACTTGCTTTGAGAATTTTAATCAGATTCTGCTTTTGAAATGTGTTACAAGTGACACATCTTGAATTAAGAACCAACACAACCATTTAAAAGTTTAGAGGTTTTTTGGGGAAAAAATAATACTTTTATTCAGCATAGAATTGTTTTAAAAAAAAAGAGTATAGGCATTTTTAACCCCTTAAGTGTCACGGGCCCACCGGTGGGCCCAAATCCTTTACATTTTTAAAACAGTAATATCCTATACTAAACCTAAACTAATCTTGACAAACTATATATCATTTGAAAGCTTACAATCTCTAGTTTCCATATTTGGTGATTGATTTTCAAAATAAATTACAGAGGAGCCGTAATTTATCAATTTGCAACAATAATATTTTCATACTCTTAGACCTTTATTTTGAAATAGTGATGAACATGAAAAATCATGAAAGAAGGGTAGAAACCTCAGTTTGTTTTCATGCCAAGAGTTCAAAAGATAGCATCCATTCAATTATTTAAAAAAAAAAAGGTCTGAATTTTTTTTAATATATAAAGAAAAAAATTATATGATGTGGCAGGAAGCTAAAAAGCACATGTGTGTTCTTTTTATGTTTCTTAGAGGTTGAAATCATATCAAAATCTGCCAAACTTCTCATATTACTTCTGAATAGGATGTCTACTTCATAAATTGTATGAAAATTGTGGAAATAATGGTTCATATCACTCAAAACACATATGGAAATGGAGGCGCCCTTATATGGGCAGTAATGGAGTCTGGTTGTCATCTAGTGAAAAAGTTTGGTACTGCGCCCAAACAAAATCTTACTGAAAGCTCATTTTTTGAGATATCAACCTAAAATTTTAAACACAACTTGTTCAGATTTTTGGCTTTGATTTTTTTGCAGTTTTAGAGTCGCCCAGGTTTTGAAAATATGTATTTTATATAAAATATGAATAATTAATTTTTTTTACATTGTACATTTTCATAAACTCAAACTTATATAACTTTTTTTCTGTTTCACTTCCTTAATTTATTTCACTTCTACAAAAATCTGCCAAATGTCTTCTTTAAAACGAGACCAATCTTACGTCTATATTCCAAAGCATTCTTGAATTACAACCATTTAAGTTCGAAATGTGCATTTTCATGTATATTCAAAAAAAGGGGGGTGACACTTAAAGGGTTAATGTTACTTTTTTTTTCTTCAAATAAAAATAAATAGGATTTATCAAAAAATCCTGAAAATGCTAATGTTTCTTGAGCACCAAATCAGCATTTTAGAATAATTTCTGAATGATCATGTGACATTTAAATTCAGCTTTGCTGTCAGGAATTACATTTTAAAATTCATTAAAAGAGAATAATTGGAATAATACTTGACAACATAACTGTTTTTACTGTATTTTTCATTAAACATGAAACATAATGCAGTCTTGGTGAGCAAAAAAAATAGTTTACTGACCCCAGACTTTTGAATGGTAGTTTATGTAAACACACCGTATATCAACACATTCATAAAAAGTTGTCACCTGTATGCTAGTTAATGTGGTGTACTGGTACGCTTTCACCACTGCGTAATTCGCCTCCACATCTATCAGTCCCAACAATAGATACTTCCACCATTTTGTCTTTAATATCTGCAAAATATTGCCATCACCTACATTAAAAGAGAGGCATCCTGAATATTACATGTCCAAAAAACAGTAGTAGTTATTCTGAAAAATGTTTAATGGTTGATCAAGAATGAAACGCAACAACTAAAATAATTACTGATGGATTCGTGATCAAATACCTCTTCTGAAGATCAGTGCCATGGTGTAAGTGATGCCTAGGAGGCTGTAATTAAGAAAGCTCTGCAGCATGGGTGTATCAAGGTAATAAATGGACGCCAGATACTGAGATGTTACAGCAGTCCCACAGATCAGTGCGGAGAGGCTTTGACCCATCAGCAGAGTTTTGAACAGTTGCCTGCAATGAACATTTGCTTGAATAACTTCACCATTTGATGAAGGTTTTGAGACCGGTCAATCATGCACTATTAATAAATCCTCTGAACCATCTGGCATACTAATGATCACATACACATACTCATTCAAAATATTAATAAATAGTATAATAGTCTATAAATAATACTAAAATAACACTAAACCCTGGTGATCATTTTATACAGCATGACTTGAGAATCAAAAAAAAAAAAAAAAAAAGATGTTCAAGTTTAGCCTCAGACTTACTGTATATAAGCTTGCATCCACTCACCATGTGAAAATATCCCTCCATTTAGGCAGTCCTTCTCTTATTTTATAGCAGAGAGTGTCCAGCTGCTCCTGAGGCATCTTGTGTCTCCTCTGTGGAGCTTTGAGACAGAATCTCAGTGAATAAAAAGATCAATCATTTACAGTTTAGGAAACAAAGTACACCGCTGTAGGGATCTTGAATTCACTGTGGGCTAATGTTGAACTTTAAGCTTAGGTTCTGGAGAGAATTAGAGGACAAGAGTTCACATTACAAACAGTTAACCTGTTTAGACTCTGATTATCTTCCAGAGACACCGATGAGGGTAATTGCCCTGGAGTGAGTAGGACAAGTGACCTGTAGAGGTTTAGCTGTCGCTGAGCACCAGAGGTGGACAAAGTACACAACTTTACTTGAGTGAAAGTACAGATACTACTGGTCAAATATTACTCGGTTACAAGTAAAAGTTGTAAAGACCTATTTTTACTTAAGTAAAAGTACAGAAGTACTCGTTTTTAAAAGTACTTAAGTATCAAAAGTAAAAAGTAAATGTCAATGCATTGTTTTGTTATTGTTGCAATGTTTGAATCTATGCCTGCCTATACCCTCATATCAATATCAAATTTATTTCTAGGACACAGTTCCAGTAGTGGGATTGAAAGTGAGATTGAATAAGTGCACTCAATAACGTCCACAATGTTTCGGACACCCAAATGGCTTTCTAATGGGATTCTAAACATCAAGAGTCTAAACATCAGTCTAAACATCAAGCACATGAGTCGGGTTCTGACGTCAACCTGACTTTCATTTCCAACAAAAATCCAACGTCGGACGACGTTTCCAACCAAAATCATCCACTGACTGACGTTACTACTTTCTACTCAAGGACCTAGACAGAAATGTAGTGGAGTAAAAAGTACAATATTTGTCTTTCAAATGTAGTGAAGTTAAAGTAAAAAGTTTCCAGAAAAAAATAATACTCAAGTAAAGTACAGATACTCAAAAAGTGTACTTAAGTACAGTACTCAAGTAAATGTAGGCCTACTTTGTTACTGTCCACCTCTTAATTCAGTAACCACTCCAACTCATTCCTGTTTTTTTTTAAATTAATGTAGAAATTAATATTCAAAGTGTTGTTTTTTAAATAATTTATCATTAATGGGGAATAGACTACACACTGTGTGTTTCGTTAATTAAAAATACTCGGCTCATAAGAATCATTCCTTCTCGAAACAGACTAAACTGGTCACGCTGTACGTTTCTGATTCATTAAAAAGTACCGGCTCCTTAGAGTCATTTGTTCACAAATTAGACTAGTCACCTTTATTTATATAGTACTTATTTAATACAGATTGTTTCAAAGCAGCTTGTGATATACAGGAAAATAATGATCGATGATGCATACAGAATTAATTTCTGCTAGAAAGTAAAAAAACAAAACAAAAGTGTCATAATTCAGCTGAAATCAGTTCAGTGTTGATTCAGTTCAGTTCAATAACTGTATAAAGTGAATCAATTATTAAATGAGTTTAATTCAGCTTAAGCAGTTTTGCAGAAAACATTGATGTCTTCATCCAGCTCATTTCTGTTCACATTCAATAGTGTCAGTGCAGTCAAATCAATAATATTCCTGGATATTAAGTGTCCCCAACAAAGCAAGCCAGAGGCGACAGTGGCAAGGAACCCAAACTCCATCAGGTGACAGAAACGGAGAAAAAAAGAAAACCTTGGGAGAAACCAGGCTCAGTCAGGGGGCCAGTTCTCCTCTGGCCAAATTAACAAACATATTGTGATTATGATTCCAGGCTGCATCATAAGTCAAATTATGGAACGTCATATAAATGACTGTAAGCATGACGAAACTGTGTTGTGGTCCTATGTAGGTCCTGGCATAGCGTCTGTGCTGAGGACTTGTCTGGTTCTTGGTCTTTGCTGATGATCTGTGGAGAGGGCTTGTCTAGTTGTGGTCTTCCCTGACATTCAGGGTTGCGTCGTGGTCCACCATCTGTTCTGGATACGGACCAAATCTGGATGACTAAGGTAACCTCGGGGTAAAGAAGAGACAGACAAGACTGATAAGCATAGATGCCATTCCACTTTCGATGTAACAAGACAGAGTGTATCTGCTAGGAAGATCAGAGTTCGGGCACTAAATAGGAAAAGAAGAATTGTCGATTTTATATATTCTAGGTATTATTAACAGGCCAGAATTATGAAACCGCAATGAATATAAAGCACTGTAATGCAATAGGAACTCACTTAAGTACTGAGGAGCTAAAACATTTGGAGCAAATAGGTTAATCAGCAAGATTTTAAAATGTACGATGCTTAATAAGAAAACTTTTTGGTTCAACTAGACTTTGTATAATACATTTTCAGGGCAACCACCAAGTAATGCAGTGCAATAATCTAGCCTTGGGGTCATGAATGCATGAATTTGACTACACTGGTCTGTCTGTGTATGTTTTTCGTTCAATTAAAAAGAACTGGCTCAAAAGAGTCATTCGTTCATGAATCAGACTGGTTGCGCTGTATGTTTTTACATTAATTAAAAAAGAACTGGCCCATTAGAGTAATTATTTTGCGAATCATGCTACACTGGTTGTGCTGTATGTTTTTCATGAATTATAAAATGGTCTCTCACTGTCATTATTTAAATGAGAATAATCAGTTTCACTCTGCCCTATTTTACAAAAAATCTCACCAAGGCTCCGGGCTCCACATCCCCACTTCAGACTGTCTGATGAACGGCTTGTATTCTGCTCTTCCTCACTGGAGTATTTGGATCATCTGCTGAATGCAAAAACGTACATATTTTTAAGACCCACAACACCAGATTTCAATGTAGTTTTCTTTTTATCTGTCTTCCCTCAAATAGTATGTTACACTACCTCCTGAACAATTTTCTCCACCATTTTTCCTGCTTAAACCATTTATGTTGTAAAAGCTGTTCCAACGTTGGTGTCTCCCCTGGCGTACCAAGGCACTGATTCATGAAATCCTGGCATTCTGTACATGTTTTCATGAGAGACCTGGTTAGTCATGCACATTCTTTATGACCATGCAACACCCTAAAGTTTGTATGTAAAACTCTGTGAACATAGAGGCGCTCTCCTATGTTTTACATGAGCTCATTTGAATTTTACTTATACACCAATCATTTTCAGTTCTGTCACTTTTTTTTTTTGTTGCATTTGGTGAGCAGATTGTGCTTTATGTTTGTGTTTAACAATGCAAATGCTTTTGGCATTGTGTGTTTGTTTTTGCCGTAGTCTTACCTTTGGATAAACTGAGATTGCCATTCACTAACTGAAACAGGATGAAACGCAGAGACCTGACTGTTTCTGAGACAGCTTCGGTTTTGTTCTCTATCCAAAAAAAGCAAAAGATTTTTTTTTTTGAGAACTAAGAGACAATTTTATAAGTTTATAAGTCACTATACACAAGACAAAAAAACAATTTACCTGAATTTGTAATTCGCAGACCAATCCCAAAGTCTATTAATTTGATCTCCCGTGTCTTTGTGTTGACCAGTATGTTACAAGAATGGATGTCATGGTGGAAGACACCTCGGTTAATACATTGATTTGCTGCGAGCAATGTTTGAAGCACCAAGTCACGTGTCACTTTTTCCTTCAGTTGATATCTGTTGTGAATCATGAATTCGTCCAAGGTCATACAAGGATGTGGATATTCCATGACGAGGATGTGTCGATCTGCCTCTTCAAACCAGTCCAGCATCTGGACAATGTTGGGGCTTATCGGAGGTTCTTTCACCAGCAGATTTAGAGCCACTTCCTGAAGCAGAGGCTGGGAATACCCAGGCTAGAGAAGTATTCCTCAAAAGATTAGCTTACCATGTGTATGCTTGATGTCTCTCACTATTTAATAAACAGTAAACATGAAATTATATTACATGTCGTTAGATATAGTCTCACCAACTTACAATCAAAATATAACGGTCCACTGTACTCTTAGGGAAACATTTGATAGCGACCTGAAAATTTGAATAAATATGGTAAATTAATCATAGCAAATCTTCTGGCTTTGAAATGTACTACCTTTAATTAAAATGTAATTACAATCTTCAATGTAAAGATTTGACACCAGTTTTGAAAAAAAACTGGATACTGATATATAACTTCAAAGTTCACAAAATATAATGGACAGATGAAAAGATGGTTGAGTGTCTACCTTCATGCCATCAGATTTGCGAGTCCCCTTAAACACAGTGCCAGAGGTTCCTTCTCCCAGTTTCTCTCCCACTCTATAAAGGGAGTCAAATAGAACTGGAAAAAAAAAACATACACATATATTATAATGCTTGTTTCTTTGATAGTCTTACATGCTGGCTGTGACTTTATGGGCAGAATAAATATTCATCAGAAGAATGTGGATATTAACAACTATCCTACCTAGGAACATCTGTCAAGCAATAATAAAACTGAAAATAAAGACAGAATTCACATGAACCAGAGTGATAATGGGCAATGAGACCTATGTCAGGCGTGGACGTGACGCGGGATGGACCTGGCTGGGGATCTTCTGTATCTGTGGCGGGCTGTGGTGGAAGAGGTGCCACTTTGTTTCCTCGGTGACATATTCTCTGGAAGAATGAACAGATGCCTTTCTTCTTCTTTACTTTTGTTTGTTTTTCTGAATAAATAAATGGGTTAGCAATAGAATCCAAACACAGAGCCTAGACTTCATTGTTGCAGGAAACAAAATTATGACTAAAAATTAAAAGCACAAAATAAAGGTCTTTAGGCCTAACTTCAACTCCAAACAACTGGCTGCTGTGGTTTCACAGATTAGGCTTAGATTAAACCAGGATTAGGCTTTATAGTTAAATTATGACATTTAAGTATTTTATAAATGTGCATTAAAAAACAAAACATTACTTGTGCATTTTGAGAAAAAACAATATAGCACTGACTTATTTTAATGTAGGCCTATCTCAGTGCACGTTGCTTTCAGTTAAAACTCAAAAACTGCATTTTAGCCCAGGACTAGCCTTACATTTTGTCTGTGAAACATACAGGCCTAGTTAAAACAAGATTATTTCTTAAGATTTTAGGCTTTTTTAATGTTATTTCTATGGATGTTATTGGATAGATTGCCTTTTGGACTTTTCTCCACAGTGGCTGCTATATAAGCCTGTTGCTCTTCTGAAGCTTCTGGTTGCTCTTCCATCATCTTCACAGCATTAAATATCCCAGTCTGGAGGTGACGTCCGAAAGCCTCACGCTCAAGGGCACTTGTAGACATGAAGATTCACACTGAACTGAAGCGCCCGCGCTTGTCAATAGAAACAACATTGTGACATCATGATAAACGCAACATTCTTTTTTCCCTTTTTTTTTTTTTTTTTGCTGGTGACGATACTCTTAGGGTCGTTCCAAGGAAGTCATTTTGACATTATGTTTTAAAAATATTTGTTAACTATAGTATTATGTATCATATAATCTCATGTTTGTTTTTATTGTTATGTGTTTTTGTTATAATAGCCTACTGTTTCGATCTGTTTGCTATTTGCTATTTGCAAAGGATAGGCTACTATATACTGTTTTTCATAGTGTGATTGATGAATTGTTTTAAAACCAGTTAAGTTTGACACACAAACAGTATAATAAGTAATTATGATATAAGGAACACACAACAATTAAAAACAGAAATATACAAAAATGTATTGTCATCGTTTTTAAATTAATAGATAATAACAAGATTTCGCATTTTCGGATTATTTGAAATACTACGAAAATAGTCTCGTGTTGAGTCTCCAGCTCGAAAGATGGCGCTAATGAATCATGTTTCCCCTGATCATCGACAACGGTAAAGAAGCATTAACGTCAGCACAGGAAATAAAACGTCTGTTTACTGTTTACAATGATGGAGGATGAAGAATTAGAGTTTGTGGAAGATTTGGAGGCGATATTACACCTTACTCCAGAAGTGCAGCTGGCCATTGAGCAGGTAAGAGATCAATTGTGGTTGAGTCTGTTTTTATTGTAGTGTCAGAGTGTCTTCTCATGAGATGCTAATATAGCCAGTTTGATACTTCTCCATTGAAGCTCACAGTTTTGGTCTTGTCTGTTTTATTTATCATTTTACTTTTTTGCTCACGTAGATAACTGTTGTCAAAACTGACTTTGTTTTTAAAACGACGGACCCCCAAACGTTAATGTGTCATCGCTAGCTTGTATTTGATGGGAGGTGTCTAGACAGGAAAAAAGAGATTGACACATTCAAGGTTTTAAACAAGGGAGTCCGTTTAAAATAGGCATAAAATGAAGAACTTAAATTGCACTGCAATTTCTATCTAATTATATTTGAATTATCTATTGGTGATCGTGAATGTGTGAAATGTACTAGTAGTGTTAGTCTATGTTCTTAACACAATGTTTATTAATGTTTACCAAAACGCAGTGAGAAAGAAAAATACCTGGACTAAAGAAGCATCATTGGAGAGGAATGATGTGCAGAATTGTTGTAATGGTTAACTGAGCAATAATAATTCTAATCCAACATTTAATATTCAACAATATTATTGATCTGCCTCGATGACGCAAATTTCTTCTAGAAACAAACTTGGTTGTATTATTTTCATGTTATCACTGTGAAGCTGGTTTGATACAATCTGTATTGTAAAAAGCGCTATAAAGGTGACTTGACTTCCTCTGGCTCCAGTTGAGTCCAGCATAAAATCAGTAATACAACTGGCTCTTTAGATCCATTTGTTAAGGTTTTTGGTGCCACCTCAATGGACTCCAGTGTAGTAAAGCTTGTTGTTCACTTCAGACTCACAGAACATCTTTAGCAACATTTTGGCCAGCTGATCCTCAATGAGCAGACACTGCTTTTCTGGGCTTGGCTTTGTCATATGACATCTGTTCATTTTTTAGGTTTTCCCCAGCCAAGACCCTTTGGATCGAGCTGACTTCAATGCTGTTGAATACATTAATACCTTGTTTCCAACAGAGCAGGTGAGTCTGAATTGCTTGCAGCATAATGGTCAACATTATGAATGTACCTTCATTCTGAAACTTTTAGTTCTGAGCAATATACTATTGTATGCTATTAGCATTGATAATACAAATAATTAATGAATCAAATTTAATGCCTGTCTATCTGTGTTTAGGTCACCCATATTGAGGCCAGTGACCAATAATACTACTAATATTTATGCTTTTTTACATCGTGGCCTATTGAATGTTCATATTCTTGGCCACTAGAGAGCGCTACTCTCTCTGAACATGAAGAACTTATTTATGTTGACTTTTCAAAGAGATAAATTAAATTAAAGGATAGCTGATGTATTTCAGTAGTGTTTATGTACCCCCCCCCCTCCAAATCATTTTGTAGTCATTGGCGAACATAGACGATGTGGTGAATAACATACGACTTAAAATCAGGTGAGTTTTCAATATTTAGACCCTGACATGGTCTGCATTTATATGTGGAGGTTATTGATTCTTATTAAATTGATATTGTATATAATTCCTTTAATCAGACGGTTGGATGACAACATCAGGACAGTGGTGAGGGGACAGACTAATGTGGGACAAGATGGCAGACAGGTGAGCATTTTGGTTCCACATACATAATGTCAGATCAATGCCATATGTTCTGTTGTGATCCAATCAAGTGATTTATAACTTTGATTAATTTAAGATCAAAATAATAAATAGTTTTCAGGTTATAGGAATAAATGGCAAATAAATAGCATTAAAGCCGTGATCTGGGTTCATCAACATTATGCCACATGGTGTACCAGGCTGTAAGATTATCTTTTTTTATGACTGACTGACTTCTGTGGAACACAAAATAAGATATATTGAACTGTTTTTGTCTATAAAATGAAGGTCAATGCGGTCCGAAACAACATCCCCACTGACTTTAATTGTGTGGACAAAAA